CTAGTAGCATCTAACATTTTTTTTATTACTCATGTATATCTTATTACTGTTTAAAGCAACTATATAATAATATATTTAACTTTAACAGAAGATATTAGTCACTCATAATTTGACAACACATAATTTGAATTATCATTGAAAGAGATGTCCATGTTTAATAAAATGAATGATGAGTAAAGGTACTAGGTATGTTCTAAGTGATATTATTATGACTACAATGTATAAAATCTCTCTGAATTTTAAGACAGTTGTATATAACTCCTTTTACTTTTAAAAGTTTAAAATTAACTCTCCTAACCTTTAATTTTATTTTTCAAAATTTGCTATTGTTAATTATGTTATTTTTTCATGAGATTTAAAATGTCATTCAACTAAAAAATATTATTAAACAAAATATTATATTGTATAATTATTTATAATAATTTTTTTTATATTTTTGAATAGTTGAGGCATTGATAATAGGCAAAACAATGTTATTATTACCATATAAAATTTTAAATATTTACTTTTGTGTTAGTTTTTTTTATTTTTTTGTTATCAATGGTGAATATTTTCTAATATTAAAAAATAAATTAATCTAACGTGGTAATATTTAAAATTTTAAATATTTTAGCCATCTGCATTACATTAATCTAATATGAAAATATAAATAAAAATTTATTTTTTTAAAACAATAAAATCATGAACCATTGATAACAAAAAATATGGATAAAAATAATATGAACATAAATATTTAAAATTTTATACAGTGATAATAACATTTTTTTTTGTTATCAATGCCTTAACCATCCAAAAAATATAAAAATTTATTATAAATAGTTATACAATATAATATTTTTATTTAATAATATTTTTTAAATGAATGACATTTTAACCCCCATGAAAAAATAATATAATTAACAATAGGGGGTTTTGAAAAATAAAATTAAATGTCAGGGGAGTTAATTTTAAACTTTTAAAGGTGATGAAATTATTTGCAACTGTTTTAAAATTTAGAAAGGTTTTATGTATTTTAAACTACTATTATCTATAAATCTATCTAATATCGGCTAGTACCTATAACATATATTTTTTATTACTAATATATATCATTTTATTAAAAACAATTGAATACTTCTTTTACCGATGATTTGAAGATTAATTCATTAATTCGTAAGGGACTAACCCCTTCTATTAAATTCAAATTGTCTATAAAGCTACCTAATATTAGACAGCTAGTAGCATCTAACATATTTTTTTTTTATTACTCATGTATATCTTCTTACTATTTAAAGCAATTATATACTAACATTTGGCTTTAGGAGAAGGGATTAGTCACTTATAATTTGGCAACACATGATTTGAGTTATTGTTGGAAGAGATGTCTACATTTAATAAAAAGAATGATGAGTAAAGGCATCTAGCTATGTTCTAAGTGATACTATTATCTATAAATCTATCTAATATCAGCTATAGAGTAGTATCTATAACATTTTTTATTACTCATATACATCCTTTTATTAAAAACAATTGTATACTAACGAGTTTAAATTTAATAGAAGGGGTTAGTCCTTTACAAATTGACGAATTAATCTTCAAATCATTGGTAAAGAAGTATTTACATTTAGCGCATAATTATATCCCGAATTGAATTGTCTCAAATAAAAAAAAAATACTTGCATGCTGGGGTGGATTTAAGACGTGTCTGCACTTACCTCCTCATAATCATTTAAGGGCTTTGCGAATTAGTTAAAAAAAATTTTGTAGCAAAATCTTTCCCTTGAACTGTAGAAGAAGAAAATTTGGCCCCCCATGCATAAAATAATACTGAATACGTCAATGCTTGTATGCAATAAAAAAAAAAAGCCATATCATATTCACAATATGTTCTACTTGTATGGAATGTAAATATTGGACCTTATTTTAAGAGAAATTGAGTCTTTCCACTCAATTCAATATCATTTGTATTATTCTCTACACTACAACACAAATAATCACATAAAACTCATGAACCCAACTATACATATAAACTTAAAAGTTACTATGATGTTATGATTAAAATTTTAAAAAAGAATTACACACGATTTAGTGTTATAAATAACAGTAATTATTTTATACTGCAGGGATAGTAAAAATGAACTAAATAATAACCCAGTTTTAAATTATGCTGGTTCTTAATTTAGGAAAAAATATTACCATTTTCTCAGTACAAATAACTATATACACGAAGGCATTATTGCCTAAATAAGAAAGCCTGTGAGAGTTTTTGGCTAAAAAAAGAAAGAAAGAAAGCATGTGAGAGACTCCTTCGCAGTGCATATATAGCGTTGATCAGCATCAGTAGCGGTAGTAGCGTGCGTGTGGAAGAGAGGAAATAAATGGGAAAGAAGAGTAGTGAGGCAGACATTGGTGCGTTCAGCGACACAACAAAGAAAACTCAAAAGGCTTACTTTGATGAAGATTGGGAAACCTTCAAGAAAATATTCAATGATCATGACAAGAAAGATCATCTGCTCGAGAATTTTGACTTGCATGAGAACAACGCCATTGGCGTCGCAATTTACAGTGACAATCCCAAACTCTTGACGTAGTTGCTGGAAATGCTATCTCAAGAAGAAAAGTGGGTTGCCTTGACAAAGCAGAACTGTCAAGGCAACACCCTTCTTCACAAAATCACATACCAAAAGAAACTGTCAGCGGTGACGGAGATGGTGGACGTTGTGCTCGACTCCAAAGAGAATACAGCATCAGCTCCGCCGCCGGAGAGGCCGAAATTGCTGGAGATATAAAACTCAAGAGGCGAAACGCCACTGTTCAGGGTTGCCAAGCCCGGCAACATGAAGGCGCTGAAGTATATGGCCAAACAAGCAGCGGGAGACATGGATATTCATCTTTATAGCGATAACGAGACTATTCTCCATGCTTGTATTAATGGGCTATATGTTGGTAAGTATATATCAGCACAAATCACAGTAGAGAGCCTTATTATTGATATGTACTTGTCCTTCAGCACTGAGAGATGTTCAATTATATTGCATGTGTCTGTGCAGATATAGCTCTTTGGATAATCGATAACATGGATTGTAGTAGTCTAATTCTGGAGAGTAATAAAAGTGACATCACGTGTCTTCAGCTTCTAGCCAGAATGCCTCCTGCCTTTCGGAGCCAATACCAAAAAATGGGATTCTTCCACCAACCTCATCTATAAATGTAACCAACCCCCACCCAAAACAAAAAAAATCTTTATTTTCTTAATTTCTTCGCTAGCGTGACTTGGTTAATAATTCTCACAACTCCCTGTATGTGTGTGTAAAAAATGCAAATGGGGGATCTTAATTTTGGACATCGATGGACAGTGCTTCCTGATTTTAAACTCATACACCCTCTAATCCAATACATAAGTAGTTTTTGGAAAAAAATTCACATACTAATAAAGTCCTCATTTCCATAAAAGTATATATTGTTTTTTCTTTTATCTTTAGTTTTAATTACCAATACACTTTATAATGAGTAAGAGATATATTTACATAAATATCTAGATTATTAAATATAAGAGGTAAAATAGAGAATTTTTTTTTTACATGTACTAGGTTTCTTGGATTTTGAACTAAGATTAGTTGAGTAAAAATACTTATATTTTCTTGTGATCATTGCATGCTCCTAATTTGATTCTCTTATTTTTGTTTTGTTATGACCACACCTTTTAATTTGAAGATGATATTCTTTTAGGCTAATTAAGGAGAGTCCGGAAAAAAAGACGCTTCTTTAAAAAAGTTTACATGCATGTTAATTAAGTGAAAGCAAAACATTCTTATCAACAGGCCATCACAATTTTTATTCAAAATTAAAGCCATAAATAAATTAAGAAACTGATTAAATAATTAATATTTTTTAAAAAAATTGACTAAATCTGGGGCATGTATTGGACTCATGAACATATGGGTCTTGGCTAGCCCATCAAACTTCATCTGTGAATGAACCTTGATGTTCTGTCAAAGAAAACTTTAAATGGAAAAATTTTTAAGAGGCTAATACTGATTTAACATTCATGTTCATACTTGAATTCCAACAACCATGCATTTTTCTTTTCAATTCCTTCTTTTACTTTTGCTTTTTGGAAGCAACAAAGAACATATATCCCAGGTAATGCTTTTAGAATATTAGACGACATACAGTAAAAAAGCAAAAGTAGAACATTACAGGACAGTGTCACTTCTATTACAAGATTATTTATATGCTCTACAATTAATCCTGAAACATATATCCAGCGTTAAAGTCCCAACATGAAATGGTTAATATATAATTTTCATTTTTAGTGCTTTACAACTAATATGAAATTATGTTCACTGGTTTTAGCAACATATTATTGTTACTGTTATTTATATTTTAACACAGGTAGCTATCGCACAAAATTTAATGTTGAAATGCGCCATAGCTAGCTAAAAGTTAGATTACGTATTCAAAAGAAACAAAATTCAATTAGACGATGACGTAATGATATTTAAAATAGAAATTAAATTAGAAAATATTAGCTTGGATACAGGAAAATAATTATACTGAATTTAACATAAAAATATAGAAACAAATAACACAATTCAATGATTATTTTTTTCATTTTTATTATTTTGCTGCTGTTAATTTCCAAGAAGATTATTAACTAAATGTTGAAGTATTTTACTTTTAAAGTATATATATTTAATAGAGATAAAATTAAAATTTTATTGAATTTTTAGATATAGCTAATAAGATTTAAAATCTTCCAAGATTTTGATAAAATATGTTGGAAGTAAGTAATAAATAAGATGGGAGGAAGTGTAATGTTATTCAGTTTTGAAATGTGTTGATTCTGAATTTTACAATAAATTCTATTTCCAATTTCTTTTACATAAATAATTATTTTTTTAAAGGAAAAAAATACTGCCTAGTGAGAAAGCTTGTGAGACATCCCTCGCTGTCACTGTATATATAATTAGATATAAACACCCACAAACACAGATTGAGCACAAGCGATAGTAGTGCGTGCGTGATAGGAAAATGGGAAAGAAGAGTACTTCTGAAATTAAGATAGAGGGAGAGACCTCTCTGTTCAGCGAGAGAATAAGAAGAGCTCAGAAAGCTTCCAGGTCTGGAAACTGGAGAGCCTTCAAGGAAATCTTCCAAGAAGACAAGAAAGATCTGCTTAAGGATTTAGACTTGTTCAAGAACACCGCCATTAACGTAGCAACTCGCTCCGATAGTCCACAGCTCTTGAAGGAGTTGCTGGAAATGCTTTCAGAACAGGAACGGTGGGTTGCCTTCACGAAGAAGTCCTGTGAAGGTAACACTCTCCTTCATGAAATCGCCCTGATTTGCAAGGTGGTGGAGATGGCAGACGTCGTACTTGACTTTGAAAAGAAGATGCCGTGGCCATTGCCGGAGGCGGCGGCTGAGGAGGAGGAGGAGGAGGAGGAAAAGGGAAGGCCATTGCTGGAGAGGAAAAACTCGAAAGGAGAAACGCCACTGTTCAGGGCAGCAAAATATGGGAACCTGAAGATGGTGATCCAATTGGCTAAAGCAGCAGCAGCTCAGCCTCAGAGTGATATGAAAATTCATCTTCGTAGCGATACTCGGACCATTCTTCATGCTAGCATCAATGTCCAATCTTTTGGTAACTATCTTTCTCTTTACAGCACTTGTTACTATTATACAAATCTCGTTGTATATACTACTTGATATATATACACACACATATTCCTTCTTTTCGTTAAAAAATGTGAAACATTTTTAATTGAATCTTATCTCCTTAATAAAGTAGTTACCTATTTTTTAACTAACTCTGTTTTTTTCATATTTACCCTTATTAAACACCCTACAATAAATATAAAGTTATTATTAATAGGGGTACTTAAAAAAAAGATAATAATTACGTCTCAAAAGACTAAAAATGCTTTATATTTTTTAACATTCAACTCCTCAAAAAATACCTTATATTTTTTAACGGAGGGATTACTGGTATATCTTGATTTGTTTATTATGTTGTGAAATGTTAGTTAATCAAGGCTTTTGGCTGTATCATTTTAATTTGAATAATGTGGCTTCACTACATATCACTTTCTACCAATTTTCTATAGATCCAACTAAAAAAAATAAATAGATTTTAAACTAATAAAGCAGCATTTTTTTTTCTCTTTCCGCACCGAGAGAGAGAGAGATACATATTGATCTGTGAATAAGTTTTTTTAAAAAAAAATCCAAGGTTGTTTGTTCAATATATGTGTGTGTATGGGTATATGGATATATTTGTATAATTTTATAAAACATTATAGTTATATGAATAAAGTAAAAAAATTGTGCCTTTTCTATTTTTTAATTAATGGTGGTTCAGTGGTTCTTATATATGTTAAAATGTCAAATAAAAACAGAATATAATTACTATTTTGGCACAAGCATAAGTGGGGATTAAAGTATTGCATTGGCTTGTTGATTAAGAGATTCCTTAGCTCACTTAGGAGAGAATCTTATTACTTGACCCCACACTGAGATCCTCCTAATGTAGATTCTATTCCTGGGCAAAAGTGTCGCGGATGTACTGAGAGTGAAAATGTGTTGTGTATTATACTTCCTCCTTTTTAAATTATAAGATATTTTTAAATAACATCTTATATATCAATAAATTTAATTAAATACACTTTAACAATTTTATTTTATAAAATAAAATATAAATTTTTAAAAATACTCTTTATTTAATAACCTTAAATCTACATTTAATTAGTATTAAATAATAAGAGAGAACGGGTGATATTAAAATAAATCTATTTAATAAAATATCAGTCATCTCAAAGTGTCTTATATCTTAAAATGATAAATCTCTCTCAAAAATGTCTTATAATTTGAGACGAAGGGAGTATAAAATACAAGAAATCAGCAATATGTGCACTACTAATGACTAGTTAATTTTTATGCTTTTTTTATGAGGGTTTTTATGCATTTTATTTTCACTGTAACGACGCGTACACACAGATATATATATATATATATATATATATATAATTTTGATGAAATTCATGTGAGTGCAGATGTAGCTCTTTGGATAATACTGAGGATGGATGGGACCAGTCTAGTGACGGAGCGAAATAAAAATGGGTTGACGTGTCTTCAGCTTCTCGCTAGAATGCCTACTGCTTTTCGAAGCCACTACCAAATGACATCCCTCTCCAACCTCATCTATAATTGTACTCTCTCTCTCTCTCTCTCTCTCTCTCTGTGTTGTGAATGCAAACGAGTGCGGATGGTAATTTAGATGATGATGTGTGCGCGTGCAGTGCTTCCGGATGAAAGATATGAAATTGAAGGTTACGATAGCTTTGAGTTGTTTAGGCCTTCGAGTACAGACCTAGAAACTGGCCACCAACATGATGCCAAGCCGCCAACCTCAGGTACTAATATTTGATCATGAACGCAAATAATATTTGAATTATATTTGAGAATATTTAACTGATATGCAGGTCTTTCAAGGATCAACTACGCTGCTTGGAAATATCTAGCTAAAGGTACCAACATTTACATTGTTCAAAAATCCACACACACGCTCACATTTGAATAAAAGTAATACAATTATCTGAATGCTTGACCAATATGAACAAGCAGTATTCTTGGGGATTGATTCTGTCTGGAAAAGAAAGAAGCGTCATCAGCTAGCAGAGCGTCTGGCGAAGTTTCTGGTAAAGAATGACTACTCGTGGCAGGCATCTTACAATCATATTAAGAAAACACTCGTCATATTGCCATCTGTCGTTTACAATGTAGCCAAAAGAAAAAAACAAGTAGAACGGAAGGAAGAGAAGAGGCAAGAGAGAGAGGACGCTGATGATGATGACCAAGATCCTGACAAACAAGAAAAGAAACACCATTATGATAATCACACGCCATTGCTGGTAGCTGCTAGCAATGGGATTATAGAAATCGTCGAACTGTTCCTTGAAGAGCATCCAGAGTCAGTGAATCACGTTAGTGAAGATGAGCAAAACATACTGCACATGGCCGTCAAGCATCGTCAGTTAGAAATCTTCAAACTGCTCAAGAAAAACCCATCGTTTGACACATTGGTTACTCGAATCTCTCGAGAGAATCGCACCGTGTTGCACCAAGTTGCGAGGATGGATTATTACAGAGCAGCGCACCTTGCTGGTTCAGCTTTCCAACTTCAAGATGAATTAAAGTGGTATAAAGTAAGCACTCAATTCTAGCAAGCTCTTGTTCATCCATACTTGATATTATTCGCAAACCACCTGAAAATAATATTTTGTTGTGTGTGTGTGTGATGTGCAGCGAGTGGAAGAAGTTGTTCCGAGACATCAACATTTGCATTGTGACCATATGAGACTTACAGCGGGAGATGTTCTGGACATAGAGCATGATCAGATGCTTGCAGACGCACAATCATGGATAAAGCAAACCGCCGAGTCTTGCTCAACCGTATCGGTCCTTGTAGCCACAGTTGTCTTTGCAGCGGCCTACACCATCCCTGGCGGGAGTGAGGGTGGCACGCCGGTGTTCCTCAGATCGCCGGTGTTCATCTTCTTCACCGTCATGGATGTCGTGGCGCTCGCCTTTTCTCTGGCTTCGGTGGTCATGTTTCTTTCCATCCTGACGTCCCCATTTGAGCTATGGGATTTTCACAAGTCTCTGCCACGTAAACTGAATATAGGGTTTGCTTTTCTGTTTTGCTCGCTGACCACCACAATGCTTGCTTTTAGTGCAACGATTTTGCTCACTATAAAGTTGCAGTGGAAGCACTGGACTTCGACTTTGGTTTATAGTGCAGCGTTCTTTCCTGTGACCATATTTGGCTTGATCGAATTCCCACTTTATATGATGCTTCCGAGCCTGTTCTTCAAGGTATATAAGAAGACCATGAAGGTGATTCCAATTGATAGAGCCGTCAAACGTTGTTACTGTAGAAGGGTTCAGAGAGCAACGTATTTGTAAGACAACAGTACTTTGTGCAAATTTCAAATCGAAGGTGTGTTGATTTGTTTTTCTGCAGTGTGTTTTTTTTGTGTGTGGGGGGGTGAGAGAGAGAGAGGAGTTGGTATGCATGTGAGGAAGCCATGTCGTTGGTGTGTTATATTATTCTTAAATAATACAAGCGAATGCTGAATTTGGATATATTCGATAACAAGAAGATTGTAATGAACAACGTTAGATTTCTTTTAATTATTTCATTCTCCTATATCTATTCATCACAAGACATTACTCACTTTCATCTGTTTCAATTTTTTTTTCATTTTATACCTGTTTCAAAAATCCAATGTAACATTTATTAATTATTTATTAATTATTTTTAATCTCATACTAGCACTTTTTACTAAAAAAAGCAAATCCCATTATTATGTTATTTATATTTCTTAATATATGTGCGTGTCCTTTTTTTTTAAAGAGGTTTCCCGATAGCAAGGATATCTCCCTGCAATACTAAACGCAATGCATATTAGCGTTGATGAGGCCTCCCAGGAGGAAGAGAGACAAGATAAGGGGAGAGAGGTTTTTTAAAATTAAAATAAAAGAAAACATGAAGAAGTAAGAGGCAATTAAGTTCAAATATATCAAACGTATACACACTCACTGTTCATTTCAAATAAGCCCTCCAAGAGGTCTGGTTGACCACACATGATGAGCAATATAGATGGTATAGATTAATATATTTTTATTTTATTTTATTTTTTATTATATAATTATTGAAATAAAAATTATAAAAAATTAACAAATTTATTTTATTATCAACGTAGATAATATAGATTTAATCTTATAGCTTAATTTAACATTAAAAGTTTTTAGAGTTTTTATAAATTAACTATTCATAATTGCTATGAACAGTCAAGTTTTAAAATTTTAACTGCAGCTTTTTTCCAATTTTTTAAGTGGCAGTTTAGATATTATCTTTATTTTTAATATTATTACTAAAATAAAAAATTTAAAAAAATTTAATGTTAAATTTAAACTGTTCTATGTACATCTGAACACTAAATTTAAAAAATTATAAAAAAATATTATTAAATTGGATAATTATAATATTTTTTTCATCAAAATAAAAATTGAATTGTTCAAATTAAATCTATATTATCCAAATGGCTAAAAAGAAAGATTTATTAAAATTTATATATTTTTTAATAAATATTAAATAAAAATAAAATAAAACGGTTTAGGTTACTTATCATATAATGAGCATCGAAACCATTTCCTCATAGAGTCATGTTGATCATATTACTTAAACCATATACCCATATTTTCGAGATGGAGATAGTAATATCTATATTTATATATATTCGAGTCTTAACTTCATATATACTACTCACGAAGTCTCTTTGGAAGAAAAGCAAAGACAGAATATCGATATAGAGGTCGTTTAGTTCTTGGGAGGTGTGACCCTCGTGGTAGGTGCTAAAGAAAAAAGTTCTGCATACAGAAGATATATAATAAAGAATTGAAATGGAAGCAAAGGAAAAAAAAGTTATGGACATGGAAGATTACTAAAGAAGAAAACAAAAATCAAATGACTATACATATCACTCACCGTTGCAAGTGGATTGGTATAAAGTAATCAAGTAACCAACTAATAACTTTTTAGTATAAATGAATAAGCTCCCGATCGAAATATGAATAGTATAATTAGCGCTTTAGTGTTCAACAAAACCAGTTCTTGTTGAATGTTTCTTTAAACTGATGAATACATAAGATAATATTTCTTGTGATTGTTTTTTCCCCATTCTCCCACTCCCCCTGCGTTATTATATGACAAAAAAAATTATTTACAGTTAGATTTCTTTTGATTATTTCATTCTCCTAATCCCCTTACATGCTATATTTTATATATGTTCATCTCAAATAATAACAACATTACGAACTGTCCTTTCTTTCATTTTTTTTTCATTTTACCTCTCTTAAAAAATTTAATGACTCTCTTGTTTTTTTCATAACATCTAATTACTAGCCCCTTTACCAAATCCAACTCCCATTACTATGTTAACTATACTCCCTCCGTTTCTATATATAAAAAAAATTGTATCACGTAATTTAAAAAAATTAGTTAATCATCATAATTATGTCTAAAAATAAAAAAATTAAATTAAAATATCTTATGTTAATCAATATAAACATACATTAATTATTTTTTATTAATATAAATTATGAAGGGCGATTTAAAAAATGTGTAATAAATGTTTATTAAAATATGTGATTTTGCTTATAAAAAAGCAAGTAAAAAGTGATAGTTTCTCTTATAAATAGAAGCGGAGAGAGTATTTCTTAATTTGTAAGGCATGTACATGCTTTAATATATCTACATTTTAAGATGGAGGTGTAATGTTAGAAAAGTTAATCCATAAGTCCCTCTAGTAGTTTTCATTTATTTTGAATTAAATCCTTATAGTTTAATTTTTTTAATCAAACCTTTATAATTTGATTGATAAAACATATCAGTCTTTGAATATTAAAATTATCAATTAATGGTCAACTTTTGCCAAAAAAAATACTTTTAAAATTTATAGAAAAATTGATTTAATATTTTTAGCCAAAAAAATAAAAGGAAAATTTGATTTAATATAATATTTATATTTTTATTAACTTTTTATGAAAATTCCATATATATATTTATTTAGAAAACATAATCTAATTATATAATTTTTGACTAATAAAAATCATGAAATAAAAATTACAAGATTTGTTCCTTATAATTAATTACCTATCTTTCGATTTTAACTTCGGGTGGCACTAACCATTGACGAGGCCTCTAGCCTCTAGGCAACAAGTGCTGTAAATGGAGCTAAGAATACAAGCGAGTTTAGCTCTTAAGAGCCGGAGTCCTAAAGCCTGGTTCTTTATTTTAAATCTCATTTCTCAAGCTCGGCCCTTATGTGAAGGGCTCAGGGCCGGGCCCACAAGTTTTTTTTCAAAAAATAAAAAAATTAAAATAAAATTAAGCATTATAAATTAATTGAAATATTCTAAAATTAAAAAATTAAAATTCTCATAATTTTTTAGAAATTAATCAACACACATTTAGAAGTCTAGTAATAAAATTTAAATCTTGGTTAAAAAATAGTTCATTTTTTATAAAATATACAAATATAATAATTATAGAAAAATGAAAAATATCAAAAATTTTATACTACACATTGATATTTATTAAATTAATTTTAGAATAAATTAAAATTAATAATAATATAATGTGTGTAGGATCAGGTGAGCAAGTAATTGGTTTCAAATATATGTTCCATCAAAAATAATAATAATAATAATAATAATAATAATAATAATAATATAATAGGATTTAAAGGGTCACCCGAGTCCTTTTTTACAGGACTTATCAGGGCCAAGCCCTTAAACCTGATTACTTTAAAAAAATTCATTTTCAAAGCCCAAAACCTTATTTAAACAGGACCTCTAAGCCTGATCTTTCAGGCTCGACCCTTATTTTTAGCTCTAGCTGTGAAGTGGAAGGCTTTTTTGTTTTATAATAGTGAAGTTAGAAAAGTTTAGGCAGATATACACGATTGGCCTGAAAAATAGATGCACACGCGACACGATCACTATTAAATGTTTAATCTCAAATAGGCCCTGAGAGATAGATTAGTGGCATTAATCAAACTATATGGGCCACCTAAAGCCCAAAATTTAGGTCCTCAGCACAGACGACCAAGCACATTTGCATCTTAGCTGAAAAAATTGAATTTCTCAATATTACCCAGGCCCAAAAAATGAAACAAACAAAACACATTTCCTTTAAAGGTTCTTTTAACTTTTTTTTAAGGTTCTTTTATTTTTTTTTAAGGTACCGCCTCTCAAAGGTTAATAAATTAATTAAATAATTGATAATTCATTTCATTTAATTAACTTAATCATGACGATGTTGGCAAGCCCTTTAACTTGTATCTGGGAATGAACCTTTCATTTCCTTGTTGGTAATGGATTTTTTTTAATGTTAACACTGATTATATGGCAACATTCATTATGTTCACACCTTAATTCTAACAACCATTGATACTTATGCATTATGTGGTGCTAAATTAAAAGGCAGAAGGCAGTGTCTTTTCAATTTTTAACTTTTTTGCTTTTTGCAGGCAAAGAATATAAATATATATATATATCGATGCAACATCACTTTAGAATATATTAGAGAACATATGCCAACTCTTTTTTTTTTTTTCAAGAGGACATATGCTCTTTAAAAAAAATACTAGAGGGTGGACACACTCCAATAGAAGACTCTTTTATGATTCTCAAAGGGTTTTAACCCCTAAAGTTCTAACTCGAGGAGCAATAGAGAGAGAGAGAGAGAACAAAATGATAGAAAAGAGTGGTGAAAAAGAGATAGAGGGTGGGAGCATGTTCAGCAAGACAATGAGAAAAGCTCAAAATGCATACTGGGCTGCAGATTGGGAAGCCTTCAGAAAAATCTTTGAGCAAGACCCGAGAGAATTACTTAAGGATTTTGACTTGTTCGAGAACACTGCTATCAGTGTCACAATTCGCAGAGCGCTGATCCCAATCTCTTGACGACTTTGCTTGAAATGCTCTCCGAAGAAGAAAGGTGGCTTGCCCTCACCAAGCCCAACTGTCGAGGCAACATATTCTTTACAGTATCGCCTTGCGAAGAAGATTGTCTGTACAAATGGTAGATGTTATACGTGAGTTCGAAGACAAGTCACTAGCGGTGAAGAAGGAAAACACAGAGCCAATATTACTGGAGAGGAAAAACAAAAGAGGCGAGACACCACTGTTCAGGGTTGCTACGTATGGTAACCTCAAGATGCTTAAGCATTTATTCAGTAAACATATTGCAAAAGAGGTTCAGCCTCATTAGGATGACATCTTTCAAATTCATCAGTACAGTAATATCGAGACTGTTCTTCATGCTTGTGTTAATGCCAAACATTTTGGTATGTATCTATGTCATCACTACTATTATATTTTTTTCTTTGTATTTTAATTAAGATATATAGTTCGTACTTGTGCTTCAACTATATTGAGGATATATGACTGTATTCAGAAGTAGCTCTTTGGATAATCAGGAGAATGAATGGGATAAAGCTAGCTCAAGAGCACAATGAAAGGAACCTCACATGTCTTCAGCTTCTTGCTAGCTTGCCTGAAGCTTTTCGGAGCCACTACCCTATGGGAGCCCTCAAGAACC